TGTGCTTAAGTCATATCAATCTTTTAATTGATTATTAACTACTTAAGGTATGCGTCAGTTCGTGTGAATAATTATTATTTACTACACTACATCATTGGTAGTTTATTTATACGGTATTTCGATTGATATTCGCCACCTTCGTGTGATCCATATTACACTGAGCTCTGTCTATATAACAAACACAGGATTCGCGAGATTGTATTTCCAAATACATACACAAAAACATATTGCCGATGTTTATTGTACTAAAGCATTGAGGTGAATTGACAAAAGCTCACGATTGAAGTCGTGAACAGACTGAATATTACATGTGCAAAGAAAATTATCACTTTTAATTTGTTTATTGCTGCAATTATACCGTCATTGTCATTTTCATAACTCCATGCTGTGACTAATCTGTAGCAAATTGCCACCTGCGTCGGCTTTTGTAGCGTTTTTAAGAGGCGTATATTATCATGTATGGTTTTCACACGTTCTGCTTCTTGAAAAGGCCCTGCTCGGCCGATTTAGGGCAAAAATTAAAATGGTGATGTATAATTATGCTTTAATCAGTGAGGTTTAAAGCTGTTAAGCAACTGACTGCCTTGATGTTTTAATTAGACAATTATTATGTTTGTAAGTATGGAACAATCATTTCATCATGAAAATGTTCAATTAACATTTCTTCTTCAGAGTGCACTGATAGTTCATGTGTTTTCTTTCAGTTGATTGCACTACTAATCCATGCATGAATAATGGTACTTGTGAGAGTAATAATTTGTGCAATTGTGATGGAACTGGTTACACAGGCACCTCGTGTGAAACTGCAGGTATTTATGTTACATAAAAAAAAATTATTGTAACATGATGAAATAATCTTTACATGTAGATCTGGAAAAATAGAGTTTACTGTATACCCACTAACACCCAACCATGGTTGGAGCAGGTTTGAGCAGATAAAAATGGCTCCGGAAATAGCAGCTGGCAAACCTGTAGAGCTCCTATCCTTTCCTAGTATATTTCTTAGATGTATCATTAGAATTCCTATGCACTCCTCAGAATATTAATTACAGTTGACATTGTCACTAGCACATAGCATACAGTATGCTTAGTTAATCTAAATGAGAATACATTGATATTATTAGTACTTTAGTACATTTTCTATTCTTGAGTTAGGCTTCATTTCTGAATATTTCATCTCGGAATTTGTTTATTGTTTTCTTTAACTGTTTCAGTTAATCAGACTGACGGTTTATAGTAGAACGATCCATTTAAGTATTTGATTGGTTCTTACAAGAAATAAAGAAACAAGAAACCGTACTGCATTAGCAAGTGTGTCATTGGCTAATTACAATCAGTTTAAAGCAAAAGTATTATACAATTGAAACTTTTTAGGCTTTCAACAAAGACTTACGTATTATATGTAAATCTAATGTAGAATCTACAGATAGCGAGGATCCTGTATTGACATGTCCACCTGACACCAGCTTATCAACTGACGGAGGAATGTCGACAGCTACTGTCACATACAATGCTTCGGATGTTACAGTAACTGACAACTCAGAGGAAATTCTCGTTCCAACTACCACAACATCATTTCCAGCTCAATTTGTGATAGGACCAAATAATATAACGTATACAGCCACTGATTCCTCAGGAAATACCGGTAGTTGCGCGTTTACAGTAACGGTTACAGGTTAGTTATATTTCCTTATGGATACTTAGACTTACTCTATATAAAATTATGCTTAAGCAAAGATACTCTACAAGTGATGCTTTATAGGCTTTCAACAAACAATTATGTATTATTAAAATCTAATGTATTTACAGATAGCGAAGATCCTATATTGACATGTCCACCTGACACCAGCTTATCAACTGTTGGAGGAATGTCGACATCTACTGTCACATATAATGCTTCAGATGTTACAGTAACTGACAACTCAGAGGAAACTCTTGTTCCAACTACCACAACATCATTTCCAGCTCAATTTGTGATAGGACCAAATAATATAACGTATACAGCCAGTGATTCCTCAGGAAATACCGGTAGTTGCACATTTACAGTAACGGTTACAGGTTAGTTATATTTCCTTATGGATACTTAGACTCACTCTATATAAAATTATGCTTAAGCAAAAATGCTCTACAAGTGATACTTTATAGGCTTTTCAACAAACAATTATGTATTATTAAAATCTAATGTACATTACAGATAGCGAAGATCCTGTATTGACATGTCCACCTGACACCAGCTTATCAACTGACGGAGGATTGTCGACAGCTACTGTCACATATAATGCTTCGGATGTTACAGTAACTGACAACTCAGAGGAAACTCTTGTTCCAACTACCACAACATCATTTCCAGTTCAATTTGTTATAGGACCAAATAATATAACGTATACAGCCACTGATTCCTCAGGAAATACCGGTAGTTGCATGTTTACAGTAACGGTTACAGGTTAGTTATATTTCTTTATGGATACTTACTCCGTATGAAATTATGCTTCAGAAAAAATACTCTACAAGTGATAATATCTAGGCTTTATAACAAAACAATTATATATTATGTAAATCTACTTTACAGATAGCGAAAATCCTGTATTGACATGTCCACCTGACGGCAGCTTATCAACTGACGGAGGAATGTCGACAGCTACTGTCACATACAATGCTTCGGATGTTACAGTAACTGACAACTCAGGGGAAACTCTTGTTCCAACTACTACAACATCATTTCCAGCTCAATTTGTAATAGGACCAAATAATATAACGTATACAGCCACTGATTCCTCAGGAAATACCGGTAGTTGCACGTTTACAGTAACGGTTACAGGTTAGTTATTTCCATATGGATACTTAGACTTACTTCATATAAAATTATGCTTAAGCAAAAATACTTTACAAGTGATACTTTATAGGCTTTTCAACAAACAATTATGTATTATTAAAATCTAATGTACTTTACAGATAACGAAGATCCTGTATTGACATGTCCACCTGACACCAGCTTATCAACTGACGGAGGAATGTCGACAGCTACTGTCACATATAATGCTACGGATGTTACAGTAACAGACAACTCAGAGGAAACTCTTGTTCCAACTACCACAACATCATTTCCAGCTCAATTTGTGATAGGACCAAATAATATAACGTATACAGCCACTGATTCCTCTGGAAATACCGGTAGTTGCACGTTTACAGTAACGGTTACAGGTTAGTAATATTTCTTATTGATACTTAGACTTTATATAAAATTATGCTTAAGCAAAAATACTCTACAAGTGATACTTTATAGGCTTTTCAACAAACAATTATGTATTATTAAAATCTAATGTACTTTACAGATAGCGAAGATCCTGTATTGACATGTCCACCTGACACCAGCTTATCGACAGACGGAGGATTGTCGACAGCTACTGTCACATATAATGCTTCGGATGTTACAGTAACTGACAACTCAGGGGAAACTCTTGTTCCATTTACCACAACATCATTTCCAGCTCAATTTGTGATAGGACCAAATAATATAACGTATACAGCCACTGATTCCTCAGGAAATACCGGTAGTTGCATGTTTACAGTAACGGTTACAGGTTAGTTATATTTCTTTATGGATACTTACTCCATATGAAATTATGCTTCAGGAAAAATACTTAACAGGTGATAATTTCTAGGCTTTTTAACAAAACAATTATATATTATGTAAATCTAATGTACTTTACAGA